ACTTCCATCAAAGAAAGCTCTCATCAATTTGCTTGACTCCACCATTAAAACTGCAGATTGTGCACGTCTTTTGCGTCCCTGTGCCCCACTTTCTTTTTTCGACATAATGGACTGAAAGAATAAATTCATAAATACTGACTACACTGTTTAGTTGCAACATGCCGAAACCGGGTCCAGATGTGCCTAACTAGTCCTGAGTTGCAACTATAATTGTATAATTCAAATATAATTTGTGGTTAGGAACTTAGGAAAGTAGAATGCTTCCTTTCATCTGACAAATTTTTAACTGCCATTATTCAGACCACCCATACTCATGTTAATTAATGTGACACAACAGTAAGAAAATCAATGCAGATGAGTGTATATGCTGGTAAATCATGCTTATGAGCAACATATAAATTACTGGCAGTTGCTAAATCACATTTAAAAATTCGATAGGTTTAACTACACGAACACTACAAGAGACAGATCTGAAATTGCTCAAATGAAAATTACATACACTGTGGAGAAGGGTGTAATCATAACATAATATAAGCCTAGAAGCTCAAAGGCTATATTTAATATTAAAGGTTTTGATAGAATGAGAAAACATATATAGGCTAACTAATTAGTGGTGCTATATTACATTTCCTAGATTAAGTCGCTAGTACATATAGATCTAACATTAATGTTAGACCTGTTATTTCCACCTTTTTAGTCTAAGGTTTGGATTTAAATGTGATAATAATGTCAGAAATTTAACTTTATACATCTGAACTAGATCTTAGATTTGGGTGCATAGATTGAAAACACCTTGTATTGAATCTACCCAGGTCTAGATATAACCATGCCTCATCAGTTCCAGATTTAGATTTATTAGGCCTAACTTTTAAAACAAATGTTACATCTAGATCTATTAACTTAGTCATTAGATCTGTCCCAGTGCAATGCCTAGTTAAATAGTTAGTATTGATCTAAGTATGTCTATAATATTGGCTACAATGTGTATGATGATGGACCTAGGGTCCAGAAATAAATTTATAACTGCAATTAGACCTAAAGTCTAGTACATTAGTTGGTGTAAGACATGATTTACAATCAACCAATACAATTACAAACCACTACATTAGGCTTATTATGTTTACTAGATCTAGATCTAGGCCTTGCATGTTGCATATATTGCCAATCTTATCACACCAGTTAATATGTTACATCAATCTCGTATTTTCGTTTTGTTGAACATACTGTTACCACAGCGGGGGG